CAATCAACGAAGTGAACTAGTAAAAATGACTCATTTGGCAACACAAATGAATTATTGATTGAAAAGTGTATATTAAATTGTTCTCAAAAAAAGTGTAAATTAAATTTGGAGTTTTTTTCCGGATTAATGCTAATTAAATAAATTATTCCCGAAATACTGTCGGGTTAAGAATAATTCCCAAAATACTGCTAGAATTAACCACAATTAAGGAAAGCCACCACTCCAAGTGGAGGCTCTAGTATTACTTCACAAAAGCCGCCACTCCAAGTGGCGACTCTTCTCTTATAGTACAAAAGCCGCCACTTCAAGTGGCGGCTCCTCTTACGTCCCATTTTGTACACATATAAAACGCAGTATGTTTAAATAATTTGTTTAACTGCCTTCCCGATTGCATTTTGAGCTGAAATTTGGTATGCATAAACTAGACTTGATGAGGAACATGCTTAAAAACTTTCACCAAAAAATTCCACCGGAAACACCCTCTGATGGTGTTGTCCGCGGGGGGTTTTGGTTAGGACGTCATGACAAAAGGGTGGTCCGGCCACCTCAATTTGAGGTGATTCCCGATGGGATGTTTTGCTGAATTTTTTTTGTATGTTATTCATCAAGTCCAGTTAATACATATCAAATTTCAGAACCAATATCAATTTGGAAAGCAGTCAAATGAATTTTTAAAGATAACTGCGTTTTATATGTATAATCCGGCGTAGTTACCTTTCAAAAATCATTTGACAGCCTTTCGGATTGAATGATTTGCTCAAATTTGGTATGATTGAACTAGACTTTATTAAGAATATACACAAAAAACTTCATCAAAACATACCACCGGGAACCACCTCAAATTGAGGTGGCCGGACCACCCTTTTGTCATGACGTCCTGACCCGAACCCCCCGCGGACAACACTATAAGAGGGTGTTTCCGGTGGAATTTTTTGATGAAATGTTTTGAGTATGTTCCTCATCAAGTCTAGTTTATGAATATCAAATCTATATATATATATATTAAATGGAAAAGTGTGGGGGGGGGGGGGGGGGGGGGGGGAATTTGGGTGGCATTATGCATTCAAAATTCAAATTAGGAAAAGGTGTTTAGGCAAACGTGTGTTTTAGGAAAAGGTGTACATCCGAGATTATGAAAAGGTTTTTAGGAAAACGTGTGATATTAAACATGTGAATTATTTAAGGTGGCTTTTGGTCTTCACAATTTGTAATTAGTAGTAACCGGTTGTTTAAATAAAATGTGGGGCTATATGAAACGATTTTTGATTTTGAAAGTGGCTTTTGAACAACCGGTTAAATGTGAGGTTATATGAAACGATTTGTGATTTTGAAAGTGGCTTTTGAACTTAAAAAAACACGTGCACACACTCAAACATTAAATAGGGTTGAAATTTATTCTATAAATAAGGACCTCAACATCTTTATAGCCCACCATAGGTGCATAGCAAGTAGAAACGAAGGCATCACTTGAGCTCAATATTTGTGAAAAAATGGCGGGTATGTTTGGTTTGATTCGGGATGTATCTCCTCAATCCAGGATTTGGGTTTAAGACTAAGGCTGGTGCGGATGTATTACTCACAAAGTGAAGACGGTGAAGTTAGGAGTCTCGAGTGTGTGTTTCATGACAAGGAGGTAGATATTTGCTATATTTACATTCAGTTATGATGTCCTCACTTGATTTACATGTAGCAATGAGCTTAAATTGATGTATATAGATTGTAAGGCAGCTTTTGAAAAATAATTGTTTAAAAATGTTTTAAAATGTTTAGATAAAATAATTGGCACTTGACATACATGTCTAGCAGAGAGTCTAAAAATGTTTTGATAAAATAAATGATATATTGAAAAATGGATAGTAGAAATTACAAAACGAATATTTTCTAGAAATAAAATGGTGAAACTTACGGAGAGTAAACGATACATGAGAAAAAGAGGTGTACGTATCATCCATGATAAAGGTAAAGTATAATACAGAAGTATTTTGTGGAGTTTTAGGTGACGGTTGTGCCGTAACATTGTACGTGTAACAATCCTTAAAATTTAGATGGGAATGCAAAGTGGATATGCACATTTTTTTTTATTTTGTAATGTTTAATAAAAAAATTGGGAGGTTTGATGTATTTTACCTGAGTGTATTCCACTAAAAGCAGCCTGGTGATAGTAGTAGGGGGGATTGAAGCTAAGCATTTGCTGGCTTTCAGATCCTACAAAGATGACAACTTAGGTCATCTTCAGTTGTAATATTAGCTCCAAAAAGTCTTTCCTGCTATAAGGACTGAAGAGATGTATACCATTTTTGTTTTGTGTCAACATCTGAAACAACATCAGAAGATGGTGTAGAAAACAGGGTGTTACTTGTTTCTGTTACATTATTTTTTAGTGACAAAACAAAGTTGGTACAAAAAAGTACATTAAGTATAGTGCAGAATGTTGTTATTATTGATTAATAACAACAATAATATACGATTCAGTTCAGTAATTGAATTAAAAAACTTTCATATGTTGATTCTAATGAATTTGACATAAGAATTTGACATATGTTGATTATAACAAAAAATTCAACTGCTTTGATGGATTAAAAAAACAATTAAACGAATGTACAACGTAGTTCAGTTCAACATATGTTGATTCTAATGAATTCGACATATGTTGATTATAACAGAAACATATGTTGGTTATATATATATATATATATATATATATATATATATATATATATATATATATATAATACAACCTAAATTCTATTGAATTTGACAAAAAATTGCATTAACAATGGTGATACTAATTTAATTCGACAAATAATTATATATGATATTGTTAATAAAAAAATTACATTGTTTCATAGAGTATCATGTTTTTTAAGATTTTATTTATCATCAATGAAACAAATGAATTATCTTGATACACATGTGGGTTAATTTTAAACAGTAAACTCCCATAAGGGATTAATAATCAAAATAGAGTGAATTCTGGATTAACTTAAGAATACATGTTGATTTATGCTTCAAATTTGAAAAAAAAAAGACTTATACTCCTATTAGCGGTTGACCTAATTACAATGGGATTTACAGATTACGGTGCATGTTATACTAACAATAACATCATTTTAAGTAGTACTCAATTAGCAATTTGCATGCATTTATATAAGGGAATCTCCTTGGTGTAGTTTACAATTAGTAAGAAAAAACACTTATCTAACAATAGTAGTTGATGATTACCTTGAAACACTTAACGGCCAACATAGAAGACGCCTCAGAGCTCGAAAACGATGATCGTCTATGGTGGAGTTATGTGGAGATGTGGCGGCGTGTTTCGATTGTTGTGTTGGTGGTTTCGTTTTAAATCTGCATAAGCTTTTCGACTTAGCGGCTAAGAAGAAATATGAAAGACGTGGAGAATTGGGGCTGCTGAATTAGCCGATCGGCGTAACCTTCTGGAGGTAGCGGCGAAGAACAAAGATGGACGGCTGGGAATTGGGGTTGTTGAATTTGCCGATAGGGTGGGGATTTGTGTTTTTCTAAATTGGGTTCTGGGCTATTGGGCTAGGATCGGATTGGGCTAAATTCTGGGCTGTATTAATATGATCTGGACTGATTCAAATATGTGTTTATACATTACGTATAGATATAATATTTGCTTACATATATCTTTTATGATATTAAAATTCAGATAACAAAAATGTTTTAAAAACTTATCCTTATAAACATAAGATATAAAATAAATTTATATTTTTAAAATGGGGTAATTTGAGTTTAATTTGCACCTCATATTATTGTCTAAATTGGACTTTGCACCCCGTTTTAAAAAGTCTTTGTTTTTGCACCCTAACCCCATATGAAAAGACAAAAATGCACCTCCATTAACAATTTTGCACCCTAACCAATTTAGACAATAATATGGGGTGCAAACTCAAATTACCCCTTTTAAAATTCAATGATAGATTTTTTTAAAAAAAATAGATGGCTCTTTTATTTTGAAATTTGTGATGTATTATATTGATTCTAACCCAAATGTGAATAAAAAAATATATTTATTTTAAAATTCAAATAACATAAATATTTTAAAATATATGTAGAAAAATTGAAAGTGCTATTTTTTTCATATCCAATTAGCATTTGATTATAGTTGTTTTTTATAAAATCGCTTAAAATTATTAACTTTTTTTTATATAAGATGTACTGTCAGATAGGCATGCTTTGCTTGATTAACTTAATCTCTTATGTCTCATATGCTATGAAGATAAATAAGAGTCAAGGACAATCATTGTCCAATGTTGGATTAGTCTTGAAAAAACATGTTTTTAGTCATGGTCAGTTATATGTTACGCTTTCACGTGTAACTGATCCTGCAGGTTTGAAAATAGCTATATGTGATGTAGATGGGAAAAGTACCAATGTAACAACTCATGTTGTATTTAAAGAAGTATTCCAAAATTTGCAAGACATTTTGTTTTCAAATTGTTATTATTCCGAAATTTTCAACATTCGTTCTCTTCATTTATATATTTATATTGGTAATATTAAACATGCTACCCTGATATATGCATCTAAAGTTAATTTATGTATTAATTTTATATTTCAAATATTTAATTTTTATCTTGTGCTATATATTGTTGCATATGATTATTTCCCGTGCATTGCACGGGTAGAATACTAGTTTCAGCTCAAAATTCAATCGGGAAGGCAGTTAAAAAAATTCTTGAAACATACTTCGTTTTATATCTGTACAAAATGAGACGTAAGAGAAGAGCCGTCACTTGAAGTGGCGGCTTTTGTACTATAAGAGAAGAGCCGCCACTTGGAGTGACAGCTTTTGTGAAGTAATACAAGAGCCACCACTTGGAGTGACGGCTTTTCTTAATCGTAGTTAATTCCAGCAATATTTTGTGAATTATTCTTAACCCGGCAGTATTTCGGGAATAATTTATTTAATTAGCATTATTCCGGAAAAAAACTCTTAAATTTGCATAAAAGCATAGTTTTGATTAGAAACGAGATAAACTTTGATTAACGGTTGACGTCACTTATAGTAAATCAAATGCATGAACTAAAACACTCAAATTGATAGCAATTCAAATGAGATGATTAATTTTCTTATTCAATTGACTTCAGTTCTTCCTCCATACAAGGCTACATGTAATGTAATTGTCTATCATCATAATTCTATTAAAAATGAGCTGAAATGGAGGTGGAAAACACAAACTTACATGAATTATATGATCTATATATGCAGTAAAATCAAGCTATCCTTCTAACAAGGAAAATCCTTTGCCTCATGCAACTTTGGAACAAAAAATTTGCACAAAATGATGAAGCGTAACCATTTATTTCTACAAAAGTTTTATTGGCAAAACTCATAAAACCAATGCAAGTTCCTTTTACACAAAGTCGATCGATCGATTCGCGTAAGAATTAATTCAAGCAAATATTTCATCAATGGGTTTAGTCTCCAAGCGTTGAGTGGTGGTGTTTGGGATTTGCTGCTGCTCCTTGGCCAGCTTCTTGAGCTTGGCAAGCTCAAGGTCCTTGCTCATCTTCCTCCTGTACATCTCTGCAAATGTCATTGGCTCGTCTAAAATAGACTTCTCCCCTTCCCTCACCTTCAAGGGATACACCTTCGCCTCGGGCGCTGGATTTTGAAAGGTCGCTATAGACAGCCTGCTGCTATTCGAGTTCACCACCGCTTGATGATCCGCATTCTTGAACCTCCCGTTGCTCAAAAACTGTCCAAACATGTTTCAATCGGGCATGTTACTAATTGAAAAAAAAAAGTTGAGATAACATGTTCACAACAAATAGTAATACACATGATAGAAATTTATAGGGTAAACTCTCAAAAATAGGAGTAAAACGTCTTGGAATGTCAAGTTTGGAAAATATCGCCATGTTTAAATTCTGGTATATCCAATGCTCTGTATATTTCAAGTCTTATTTTGGAATCTAAAGACATATTACAAGTCCTATATCCAATACTCTGTATGTATGTAGAAGTTATATCTATTAAGAGCCCGTTAGGTAATACTGGTTTTCGGTCCAACCAGCTCTCAAATAGAGCTTCAGCCTAGCTAGATATCAGATATGTATCTAATTAATAAGATTAACAACTTACATGGCCATGGTCACCAAGGTTAACAACAAAAGCACCCTCCACAGGTTGGACAGTGATCCAAGTCTTGCCACCATCCTTGGTGGCTTGAAGACCTCCCACCTGGTCCTGTAACAGCAGGGTGATGGTTCCTGGGTCCGTGTGTCGCTTTAGCCCCAGGGTTAGGTCAGGCTGAGGGCATTTTGGGTAGAAATTCACAACCACTTTTTGGTCCATTTCAAGGCATGCCTCTGTCAACGCCTCCTTCTCCAACCCCATTGCCTCTGAGAGAACCTCTAGCAATTTGCAGGCCAACTCCATAAGCTTTTCACTGTATTTTTCCGTCACTGCCCTCCATTCTTCTGGCTTGTCTGGCCACCTTGAATAGTCCCTCGCACTCTTGGGGTATGAGAAATAGGTCACAATTTCTCGCCAATCTTTCACAGCTTCACCCTGTAAATTTCTTGATGGGCATTACTATATATTCAAAGCTAGGATAAGAGCATAAATTGCATCACAACTCCACACATTCAAATGCAAAAAGGAACTTTTGAATGATGTAAAAAGAGGATTTTTTACTGTCCAGAATGCTGATTCTTCTCGTGAATTAAAAAACTTCAATTCAACCATGAATCTTACATTTTGTAGGTAATATTCCGGTCACCCAATAAAATGCCAACTATGAATCTCACGTGCTATATTAGGGGGGTTTAATAAGGCACCTAAACCATGGACGTGACTAAGAATAGTAGGTAAAAATCACAGGGTGTGCTAATTTAAGGTCTAATAAGCACCTCAATCATGGATGGGACTAAGTGGTATTATTTTGGACCGTTTTCAATTCCAAACCAAACCAGATTAGATCAGACTAAATAGACTTTAACAAACCATACTAAACCAGACAAGAAGTAAAAATGACCACACCAGATAAACTTTGGACAGTTATAAAATATACAGAGACCGGACATTTAATTGATCAGACTAGATTAGACCAGATTTTAATAAACCAGACCAGACCTGCAAATTTCAATCCGAAACAAAACATGCTAAGAATAGTAGGTACAAATCACATTACATGCTGACATCAGACATGTCTGAAAATGATTTTTCAAACAAATAACGATTTGACCCGTTATAGCGTTTTTGTACATAACCAATGAAATGAAAATGCCTTTAATAGCATCATTTTGGTCAGCTTTTTGAAATACAACATTTCCTACTAATTATTAGGACCAAACAACTAAATTATCAAATACTCGGTAGCGTTTTTGCTCCAATTGAATTCGCTATTAATAATTCACTTCTGTGTTTCCTGCAAACCCCTAAATGTCAAACACACACTTAATTAATTGTGAAAGTGTTAGTCTAAGAGAATTAACTTGTCAATAGTTTATCAGACGAAGAATATACACTTATACAGTGGGCATTATATACCTGAAGATGGCTGGAAACGATGAAGCCTCCTTTCTTGCCGCCGGACATATCAAACCGGAGCTTTTCTGCGGCGGGCAAGGAGAAGAAGTCCCTGGCAAGTCGCGTCATTTCCGAGACCAAACCGGCGTCGACCCCATGGTCAACCACCTGAAAGATTCCCCAATCCTCACACGCCTTCACAATTTCGTCGCAGATTTCCACCCGCCGGCCATTGACATCGTCAATGCCCTTCAGGGATATAATTGGGATTTCGCTGCTGAACACATTATACCCCACTTTGGGACGCTCGTCTTCGTCTCTGATGAAGCTCGAACGCAGAGCCGTCTCGCCTGCTATAGCTGTTAAGGTTGACACTGCCGCCATTAATAGTCTTTCTTATGGTCTGTTTGTTTTTTGTTCTATTTTTGTAACCAGAATGAAACTGTGACTGTCGTTTGGTATGTATATATATAAATAATGCCTTAAGGAAAGGAAGAAGGAGAAAAGCAGTAGTGAATTATGTAGTGTGGTTGACTGGTTGGAAGTATGGTGGGTGGTGTTGGTGATGAAGGGATGCATAAACGTGGCAGCCCCAATGGCCTTTCATCTCAACTACCAAAAATTCAAGAACCAAACCGCCAATTTGGTAAAATGGGGTTTTTAATGGTCCAGTACGGTCTGGTTCAAAGGATGGAACCATCGGTACTATATCGTTTCGGAACGATACAAAACGGTACGATACAATGTCAAACACATGCTAAAAAAGTTGGACAAATTTTGCAATTAGTAGATATCATCACACCAACCAACTCACTTGAAATATTGATATAAATACAAAAAATTGCATACGTTGTACTCAAATTTACAAATACACAAATAGTGCAACACAGCTAAAAAAAGTATAGCAAAATGATGACACACGTTGTTCATGTGAACATATAAAAAGAATATCATCAAATTGTTGAATATAATAGAAAACTTCAACGTTCTTTTTCTTTGTTCTATGTTCAATATTATTCCATATATAATTCTAAATTAATTTATAGTTGAACCTTGAGGTCCTTGAGAGCTAAGATTTAAACCATATTAATTAAGTTAACAACGTTGTAAAATTCCACAAACATGATACAACAAAAAGTCATATACACTACATTACTAGAAATGAATAGTCATTGATGTTTTTTAAAACTTTAACATTCTTTTAATACATTCCAAAATATAACATAAATTATCTAAAAAGAAAAAATAATAATATATATACATATATATAAAAACACACACATTAGCTATTTTAGGGACGCATGAACACATACTTGGGCTATAAAATTGTTGGTCTAGAAAAGAGATTTATTGATATGAAAAAAAATAAAAATTTAACATGCATTATTTTTTAGCGGTCCGGTCCGGTATTTTTCGGTTCTCAAAACCTAGGATCGGTCACATACCCGTTTAAAATGGTACGGTTTCAGTACGTGATAAAAATCTATAGAACCGTTTAAATACCCGGTATTCGATTCGGTACCATTACGGGACGGTTCGGTACCGATTCGGTTCGGGTTTTATGCCCACCCCTACTATTTTTTGTTGCAGCTCGAATTCACTAGTACTTGTACGTAGTAGTAAAATACAAAGTACATAGTACGAATTTACTATATTTCCTTTTTTACCAGGGTCAGGTAGGGGGGAGTAGAATCGACCCAAGCCGACTTACCCGATCGGGTATATCCGATTTTTGGGTATTGGGTCAGATTACCCGACCCGAACGATACTACCCGAACCGGCCCAACGATTCTGGGCGGGCTGCGGGCTGCGGGTAGGGTTGTACTAATACCCACTCGACCCGCCCGATCCCCCGATATATATGGGCCTCTAATCCTATACGGCTTTACTCATTACCCCCAACCGGCCCAAGCCACCCTTTAACACTTTATCCCTAAATTCCTAATCGTTCAACATTCTCATTTCTCAGCACCTCTTTCCTTCGAACCCTAAACGCCACCTTCTAAATGCTTCTCTACTTCTTTCTAAAATCAGATATCTCAAACTTGGTCGTCGTCCATCGGTGCCGGTTAGCCGCCATTGCCATCTGAGTAATTCACTTATTTTCTTGATTTCTTCTCTCTTTGTCTGTGACTGCTCGATTCATAATTCGTATTATTAGTTACTACCTCCATTCCTTAAAACTTTGCCAAAGTTGACCGGCACGGAGAATAATAAAGTAAAAATTGTGTGGTTGAGGTTTGTGCAGAGGAGAGAGAAATAAAAGAAACCACAAAATAATTGATTAAAAGGGAAAGTAGCAAAGTTTTTTGGGACGTCCCAAAAAGGAAAGATGACAAAGTTTTAAGGGACGGAGGGGCTATTATGTATGTCTGTCTTTGATATTTGATATGTTTGTTTATCTTTATCTGTTGCAGTCCATCTGTGTTCTGACTTTTGAGAAACAGAGAAACTGATAGACTGAGGTGGTATTGTGGAAGCCCAAAGTCTGAATCTCCCAAGACCTTAACTCTGCACTTCTTCAGTTCTGTTACCTAATATTTTTTTGTTGGACCATTGAACATCACTGAGGTATAAAATTAAACATACTTATGCATGTTGGAACTTGGAAGGAATGGAAGCATTGTTTAATGTTAATTGAATGATTCAATCATGTGTTACCTATGTAATTATATATTCATATGTGGAATTAAACATATTCATGCACCATTGAGCAGTACTATGTAATTATATATTCATATGTGGAAGTGTGGAACTGTGGAAGCATGTGGAAGCTTATGACTGAGTGTTAAGTGTTAACACCTCTGAATGATGATGAACTGGTTGATTGTGGAACTGTGGAAGCATGTGGAACTTGTTTGGTTGATTGTTTTCTGAATTCTGAATGTATGATGTCATCTAGTCATGTCTCATGTTAGCATGTGGAAGCTTATGAATGTGCAATCTACTAATGTGGAAGCTTATGAATGTGTCATCAGACAATGTCATCTACTCATGTCTCATGTCATCTAAGTTATGATGTGCAATGTGTAACTGACTAACTGTGTAATGTGTTGCCTATCAATCTATGTGTACATAACTTGACTTATGTTTTAATGAAGAAGCCTTTTGTACTATGGTTCTCAAATGAGTAATGAGAGTTGACTGGTTTCTTCAAAGTCTGTAGAGAAGTGAATATGCACACTGCATATTATCCTTCTGTAGATCAGCTTGCTGATTGTTCTAGACTTCATGTCTCATGTATGGTCTTACTTGAGTTGTCAATTTGTAATCTTACAAATGTATGACATAAACACTATGAATCATTGATGATGAGTGGGAGCTACCCTGAGTCCTTGATAATATGCGACTTTAACAACAATGCCCAATGAATAGATGTAAGGTCAAACTTCTGAAAGTGATAACATACCTTTATCTGGATCTCAACCTCCTTTGAGTCAAGAAACAGTGGTGGAAGCTGAAATGGGTGATCCTAACACTACCAATGCCCCAAACGCAGTCATAGAACCACCTCCTGTTTCTGGACAAAAAAGAAAAGAGGTTGATGGCAGATTTAAGATATGGGATCACTTTTATTTTACTCTGCATTAATTTGGTAATTGGTAGTGATGAATGTTTCCAGTAATAAGAGTAATATCCCATGACTCATAGAAGATTGTGTTGGTGTTAATCTTGTTTGGATTATATGCCCATATCTTTTGTGAGATAACATGGAACCAATCTGAGCCCAACTTTGCAAATTATTTAAAATTGTCATACCTTAAACTATTTATGAGTATTATTTACTTGTATAGTTTACTTAAATAGGATGAAATATGTTAATTTGATGGTGTGGGGTCTGAAGTGTTCACCGTGGTCTGTCATCTGTGGAGCATCAAGTAATCAACGAGTCTTGGTATGTTGTTGTTAAGCTTGTATTAAGTCTGAGTTTATGAAATAGCATTGAACTATGATGTTCTCTTTCAGCCTTTCTTGTGAAACTATTAACATATGAATGAGAACTGAAATAGCAGTGATGAAGCTTCCACTCATTAAGGGGTTTATGGATGGTGTTGCTCTTTCAGCTCATAACTGAGAACTAAAATGGTAGCAGATGTCCCCTATCCTTTATGAATGAAAAATAGCATTTTGAGCCAATTCTTTAGGTCCTTGGATCCTTGTAATAAGAGTTAATCAGTTTCTTCTAAGTATCATGTTCATAGTATAGTCCAATTTTTGTGAATTTGATACTTGTTTATGTCTTCTATGTTGTATCCGGTGCATCATGAAGTATGCATGAAGTATTCAACAAGTACTGGTATAGTGGTATGCTGTTGACTGTTGTTAAGCTTGTATTAAGTGTTGACGTTGCTCTTTCAGTTCATAAGTGATGTTCTCTTTCCGTCTTTCTTGTGATTTGTGAAACTATTAACATATCAGTATTGATATATCATATATATGATATATTAAATAATCTGCCAAATTGGCAATGATGAAGCTTCCACTCATTAAGGGGTTTAGGGTTAGTATTGCTCTTTCAGTTCTTAAGTGAGAACTGAAATGGTAGCAGATGCCCCCTATCTTATATGAATGATAAAAAGCATTCTGAGCCAACTATCATTATCTTGTATACTCATTTGGGTAATTGGGTCCTTGGTGTTAGATTATTGGACTTATACTACATGTAATATTCACAGTATATTATTTATTGGGTTTAATTGTATGTTATATGCTATCTTATATTTAGGCCCAAAAATTAGTGGTCCTATGGATATTAATTTAAGTGGGCTAATAAGTTATCTAATAAGGTATAGGGCCCAAATGTGTAGAGACCCATGGGCTTCACCTAATCAATGATGGGCTGATTAGGGTTAAGCACTCTCTATAAATAAGGGGTTATGGTCCCTAGTTGAACATGTCATTCAGTCTTTCTGCATCCCATCGCTAGAGAGATAATTCCCGAGGGTGTGTATCAACTAGAAGACACAAACCCTAGCCTCCGTCTCCCGGATCTCTAAAGGCCATCTCCCATGGAGTCAGGTACGCTTCCGCTCAGTTAATTTCTCTAGATAATTTCAATATGAAGATTAAAGTATTATCGGATTTATTCCAACAATTGGTATCAGAGCCTCCTTCATATTGAATTATTTGGAGTATTCGTAGTTTTGTTTCAATCTTGAATGATTGAATTTATGGAATTTATTTTGTCATATGATCCGCTGATGAGATGGAATCTGGGTAATGCAATTCGTTTCGTATTGGATTCATGTTATGAATCATCAAGTGTTGATTTTGTGATATTGATTGATCTTTGAGATGTTTCGTAATTTTTTCGTTGGATGTTTCGTAATTTTCTATTATCGCACCAGCCTTATGGATTGATTTTAAGTATTTATTTATTTATTCAGTATTAGCCTAGTTGATCTTTGAGATGCACCTAACTACGTAAATACATTGAGTGTTTCAATTTATCCCAAATTCAATTCCACTTCAACTTTATCTGTTAGTTGATGTGAAGCAACAAAGGTATTTTATAAGTTCTGTTCTTCTA